GAGGGGTGCAGCATGTGAAGTGACGTCACCCGCTAATGGTTATTGTGGAGGGGTGCGGCATGTGGAGTGACGTCACCCGCTCATGGTTATTGTGGAGGGGTGCGGCATGTGGAGTGACGTCACCCCCTCATGGTTATTGTGGAGGGGTGCGGCATGTGGAGTGACGTCACCCGCTCATGATTATTAACGAGGGGAGGGGTGCGGCATGTGGAGTGCGCGACCTTTTTGTGTGTTTGTGTAAATTTCTACGCGGGCATGAATATTAATGAAGGGGGGGGGGGCTCTTTTGCAGTGACGTCACGAATGGATGTAGCACTGTGCTGCGTGGATTTATTTTTTACCGTCACTTTCTGTAAAGAAACGACATATTTGAAGCGACTTTGCGTAATAAATTATTAAAATCGGCTCGCCCTTCCTCTGCGTTCGTGTAAAAATCCACCCACTCATGAATATTAATGAGGGGGGTGGGAGTGACGTCACGCGGGGGGGTGGGCCTAATGTTGAGTGACGTCACGCGGGGGGGGGGCTCATGTCGAGTGACGTCACACGCGGGACGGACAGACATTTCTGGGTGATTATAGTAGGTAATGGGTCCCTGTGAGCCTCGATGTGATTACTATATGGTCCTTAGTTTGGATCGCACGGCCTTTAATGTTCCGTTAACGAAGGAGATGTGCGCATCAGCCTGTTTATGAACTGATGCGGTTGATGGGTCCACCTGTGTCTCTGAAGAGAAATGGCAAAGCCAGGAGGTTTGCGATGTTTGGGTAGAACAATACTCTTAGCTCTTTCGGTAAAGTCACGTAGGTAAAAACTGAAATAAAATAATTGTATTTTAATTTTATTTTTTATTTTATTTTTATTTCATTTTTTATTTTATTTTAATTTTATTTTTATTAATTTTAATTTCATTTTTTATCTACGTGACTTTATCGAAAGAACTAAGAGTGTAAATACTTGCAGTCACGAAAGCTTCAAATCTAGAATGGGTAGAACAAGATTAAAAAGGTAGCAAGATAAAAGTGCAGCCCTGGATTTGCTAACGCTACTTCTAGTGGTGAAAGGGCCTTCAATTAGAGGTAGCGCCTCTTTCTCATACTGTGAAGAGCAGACGGTCAACTCTGCCCTGTGCAGTATGAGAAAGTAGCAAACTCCTAGACCACTGGTAACACGATGGAACACGATTTTTGTCCCTGGGTAGTAAGTGTTATTTTTTAATTGCTTATGCCTCAAAAGTATAGGTAATGGCTATTATTCCCCACAAACGTTGGTTTTGTATAGCATTGCGATGTGAACTTCAGCAAACCCGAATTCCATTTGCGACCAACACCAAACAACACCAGTGGTGAGCGACATTTGTATAGGTCCTGGGCTCTCCCTCTACCAACCGTCACTGCCGAGTGTGTTGGGTGATGTTTGGCCAAACGTCCCCCATGACCGACACGGAATGGAGAGGCCAACATTCAGTAGTTGATTAACAAAGGGCTGTAACGGACTGTAGTTTTGCTCATTGTTAATGTATACAATTCATGACACTGGTCAATAAAAAAAAACTTTTTTTGTGGCCTGGACTTTTGCAGCTGTTTTAGACTAATTTCAGGGTGCTGATTCCAAATCTGATCTCAGATTTGCTCTATCACATCATTTTTATGCTATCGGCATACCCCATTTTCATTTATTTTATCCGAAATTAACTCTGTCACTTATGATTGCAAGTTGTTGCGAGTCAGTGACTGCTTCAGTGTTAAAATATGGTGCTGTATTTTTAGGATAGTGTGTTTATAATATCATTTTATGTAGATATCCACATTTATTTAATATTTTTCTTCTGCAGTTTTTATTGAAAATGCTAAATTTGATATCTCAAAAACCTGATGTGATAGACAAAAACTGATGCCAGATTTGGAATCAGCACCTCAAAATTACATTGAACCCGTTGGAATACCTTATGCCAGAAAAAGTGTGTTGACCAGTGTTATAAATGTATTGCTAATGTTCAACGTTATTTAATGTTCACATCGATGACAGTTTTACGATGTTCGTTGTCTTGATCATTTCTTTACACGTTTACCGTATGGCTTGCATGACCCAGATCTCCGTTGAAAACGAGACTTGTTTTTGTTACTTAGCAGGCTGTCTAAATGAGGCGTGTGCGTGTGGTGTCTCAAAGGTGAATGATGTGCAGAGCTCGGAAGCTCGATCACCTCGGGGTAAGAGGCCGCAGAATCTAAATCCTCCAGGCCAGTGTAGATCCCGTGGTGGTCCTGCTCACGTTCCTTCCATTCCGCCTCGTGACAATGGCCTATTCATTCATCTACTGGACAAAATATGGCTTTGTAGCGCATCGGATTTCTCCAGCATGAATAAATAAAGATTCTGATTCTGATCTTGCTGCTCGACAGTGGAGGGGAAGTGCGCTTTGTGATGTTCATGTCCGAACAAGGGCTTATCTACACGGAGAGATGGACTTCGGTAATATCTGCTCCTAAAGTTTCTCCACATTGGGCCTGAAATATCTGACCTAGTTTATTGCAATGCTTCTCCTTCTATTTTGTGTAAGTGTGGATATTTTTGACCTCACTCAAAAGGTGTGCTCCAAAAACCACGCTCATGTGGACGCCCTTGCGGCTTTTGACAATTTGGCTATCAAATTTCGATTTAAAGGTTTCGTGACTGCAGGGATTCATCTTCTTGGTTCTTTCGGTAAAGTCACGTAGAAAGGAAATAATACAATAATAAAAATAAAACATAATAAAATAATTCTCACGACGTTTCGGCCACAGACTCTGTCTTCTCGACAGACCTGTTCTCCACCTGAGGACGGCTGCTTGCGTTGTGGCCGAAACGTCGTGAGAATTATTTTATTATGTTTTATTTTTATTATTTTATTATTTCCCTTCTACGTGACTTTACCGAAAGAACCAAGAAGAATTTGGCTATCGCCTGAATACGTTTGTCCAAATTATAAATTGGAAGCTATTAATTGGCCAAGTTAATTCGGGAAGTGAGTTTGAGCTCTGCAGCGCACATGGCAGTGTGTCGGTATTCCCCCTGTGATGTTGTACTGTGGTGGGTGGGAGTGTGCAGCCCTTGTGATTCTAACAAGCAGTGATGCATTTGTGATTGTGCCCTGCCTGTCAGAGGTGGTCGTGAGTTTCGTGGTTTGATGTCGTGAAGAAACAACTCTCGCACTCGGTCAAAAGGTAATGCAGCAGGTTCTTGGGTTCGATACCGACCCTAACGCCTGTATATTTGGAGTTTGCATGTTCTCACCGTGGTCGCGTGGATTTTTATCCGGGTCCTCCGGGTTTTCCCTCCACATTTAGAATCATGCGTTTAGCGTATTTGGCTGCTATAAATGTCCACGTGATAAGCTACTTCGTTGAGCTATCATTTGTGGCCAGGTCGCTTCTGAAAAAAATAGCTTTTTAACTCAGTGGGCCTTACCTGGTAAAATATAAATAGTTGAAATAAATTTCGATTTCAAGCTTTCGTGACTGCAGGGATTCATATCATTGGTTCTTTCGGTAAAGTCACGTAGAAGGGAAATAATAAAATAATACAAAGAAAACATAATAAAATTAAATTCTCACGACGTTTCGGCCACAACGCAGGCAGCCGTCCTCGGAAAGACAGCGTCCTAATGAACACTGCTAAGCTTGGCAGCGTATTTTAAGCTGGGTGGGAGGAGGAGAGAGCCTTGACAAAGGAGTTTACATATCAACAGAGGAATGTAGCATATTGATGACAATTGCAGATATGGGGTTAGTCACTTCTTGCGAAATGTGCCTAGTTGAAACAGTTTAGTTAAATGGCATTTTCCGTGTTAATAACTTGTAGCACGCCGCCGCCGCTTGCTCTCGTCGAGAGAAAGAGACGACGACTCAGATGCGCCAAGAGGAGAGACCACAGACGAGTGTGGAGACAGCAACAGCAGCCACACGGCTGGCGCTACGGTTCGACTCCAGTGGCCGCCCTGGTTAACACTGCGGTGTGTATTTAACCATTAGCTTACTACACGCCATCTGCTTCACAGCGGACGGTAAAGATTCCGTGTCGCCATCGTGTGTTGGTGGTCCTCTGTATGTGATAATCGCTCGGAGTAAACTTACACGTGCGAGGGACAAACACTCTGTCCCATACATATGGAATAGGTGGAGTTCACGGTTTTTTTTGCTGTACTGCCTTCTGGCAATCCAGGGTATGGCAACATTTGTGTAATCCACCAACCCTCACGGCCTACACACTGATGGATTACACACCACGTGCAGAGCCGCCACCACCGCCCGCATACAACCGAACGCAAATTTTGAAGCAAGCAATCAGACAGTTTTGGCGAGTTTACGGTTGCAATAGAACAGGCGTGTAATGTGCAACAATACATTATTAGCTTACTTTAATTGTTTACATTACAATGACAGTGTATACGGTTTTAACTTTGTACAAACTTCTGTTCCTCCAAGACGCTCCAATGAAGCGGAACAAGACAGCAGTTTATGTGGCTCTGGATTTGAATATTGGTGCCCGATACCCTGAATCATCGAGCAGGGGTGCAATTAGGCATCGAGTAGTCGCCGCACACGATGCTGAAAAAACTAAAACAATTACTCTTGAATTTCGATTTAAAGCTTTCGTGACTGCAGGGATTCATCTTCTTGGTTCTTTCGGTAAAGTCACGTAGAATGGAAATAATAAAATAATAAAACTAAAACATAATAAAATAATTCTCACGACGTTTCGGCCACAAACGCAAGCAGCCGTCATCAGGTGAAGAACAGGTCTGTCGAGGAGACAGAGTTTACATTACAATGACAGTGTATACGGTTTTAACTTTGTACAAACTTCTGTTCGAGGAGACAGAGTCGACAGACCTGTTCTCCACCTGATGACGGCTGCTTGCGTTGTGACCGAAACGTCGTGAGAATTATTTTATTATGTTTTATTTTTATTATTTTATTATTTCCATTCTACGTGACTTTACCGAAAGAACCAAGAAGAATTACTCTTGAATCAAATTGAAACCGTGAATCGCCCGGAGCTGGAGGGTGAAACCGTTCTACCCCGAGTCATAAAGCCTCGACGACAAGTTTATTTCTGTTTAAGCCTCAATGGTGAATTCGTAATAATGTTAACGATACATTACACATTAATGCGTCCTTATACTTTCAAATACTCGACCGTAGTGTCATCTATTATCGTGTTACTACTGTAATGGCGTCATCAGCATCTGATTGCTCCTTTAATTCTCATTTTGATTTGCAAATGACTAAATTCGTTAGAACAGCTTTTTGTGTTTAGTCTGCTATCCCCCCCCCCACACACCTCCGATTAGCATGGTTGGGTAGGCATGGCGCGAAAGAAATTCAACATACACAGCACATACTCAATAATTGTAATGTTTTTTTTTCACGACTAGACTGCTCTACAAAAATACTATCCAGTCAAAAACGTGCAGGCCAAGTCTTGCTATCAAAATAAATAACAATAAGTGCTCGTATAAATACATTTACGCTGCAAGGCACCATAGGGAGAACCCAGCAATACCTTTGCCTGACCTCATTTGACGTGCAATGTCCTCTCGTGGGGAGGTGATACGTTGTGGCCTAAACACATTGAATATTAACTTAACACGCAGGTATTCACAGCCAACATGATTCATATTTAATGGTCTCGCCGAATGTGTCTTGCAAGACTTTCTAGAACCCGACACGGCCACAAACACATGAACTTATCACCTGTTGCAGGCGTGGTTATTTTCATTCTTTTACGCGACATTTGTAATTGTATCAGCTCACGGCTACGTTGAAGAATACTTCTCACAACCAAGTTTGGTAAAAAAAAAGAAATGTACGTGTACACGTGACTATTAACTTGTCAGGAAAATTGTGGTGGCGGAGGGTCTGACGACACATATTTTGGACAGAACGTTACGTGGCCTAACCCAAAAATCAGTTATGCATCATACAGAATTTAGTCATGATTCTTATGAAAACTGGCGTCTCAATGTTGATAGCTTTCCTTTTTGCCACTGGCTCAGCCAGGCAGCAATATTTGGCCGAGATATCCTTTTAGGTAAACGATCAAGAGATTTGGAGACAGAGCCACACACACTTGTGGATATCGTTACTGGAGTGATAATGCCCTGCAGTGTAAAACGGCAAAAAAGCGACATTCATTTGCAAGTCAATTAGGAGGCACAAGCTTAAAAAAAACAATTCGCAAAGACCCATCAAACACATGCCACGTTACACTTAAAGCCTCTTATATTGATAATAAGATATAGAGCAATGCAAAGACAAAGATCCCCCTTGTAGCTTTAGCATACTCCTGGGGCAAGTGCTGTTAGCGAGCAGCACTTATGAAGACTGGCACGGCACACGAGGGGCTAGGTGGCCAGCACCACGCCCGGCCGCCTTTGGCTCCCCAAGTGCTAATATGTACACACCACACCAGGTGCTCATTTAAGGCTGAGTCGACCCAGGAGAGGTCCAGGACCGATTCAGATACTCATCACTGGCGTTGGCCGTGGCCGGGAATCAAACTCAATTCGTTGGCTGCTTCGTGGAGTGCTATAACCATTACGTCACCGTTCGATGCAAAAACACAAAGACAAATATACCCCGTGTAGCCTTTCACGGACTGTTCAGGCAAGTGCTGTTAGCGAGCACCTATGAAGGCCGGCACGGCACACGGCGCACACACACGTTGTGTTTAATGCCAGGGCCGCTGAATCACCTCATGCTGGGCATGCTCACTGCTGGGCCAATCGGCACAAAGGGGATATGGTTCGATTCTGACCAGCTGCCCGATCATTCACCACGTAGACATCTTTCAAAGCGTGCCACACGTGCTGCGTGGTGGTGCAATATTCAGATAGAGCGAGCACGCGAGCTGGTTGAGAGGGGGGGGGGGTATTATGAATAAATGCCGGTCGTGAAGATCAAGGGAGAGTCGATGTGATCTGAACAGACGCAAACTCGAGTTACAAACGCAAGTGGAGACAAACAGAAGGGAAGTTAGAGGACGTATTGACTGGCCATGGCATGTGCAGAAGGACAAGGCGATATGGGGGGTTCCTCTTAGTTCTTGCAGACAAATCACGTGAGTTCCTATCACTTTGGTTCCGTTGCGAGCCAATGCCCTCGTGAGAAAATCGCGAGATGGTGCGGCCTGATCGTTCTTGTCGGTCTTGTTTCGATGACGAAGAATTTCAGTCGGCAATAAAATGTTCACCCCGCTCTGAGATTCGCGAACAGTCGCTGGTCTCACATGGAATGGATTTCTTCTGAATCCGGATGATTTATTCCTATTCAGTCAGTCTGACTACTTAGTGCCTGTGCACATCCATCATAAATTGGACCGTGGCCCACCATCTGGGTTAACCACGCGATGTCTGCAGAGAGGAACTGGAACTGAAAATGATCACGGGTCGTTAGTTCTTGCATTTTATCTAAAAAAACGAGTCCGCATGAGGCACGCCCGCAGCTTGATGATGGAAACAACGTTTACACGATAAATAATCCCACGGCAACGGTCAATTCGACGACACAAGTCTATGTCACGCTGACGCCGTGCTGTGAGGTGTAACATTAATCACGGGAATCTCTTCTTCCCCCCACGAGGACGCTGCTTTGGGACGTTGGGCCAACTTGCCGTCGCGTGCGCGTCGGTCACCGGGGAAGATCTCGCTCGACAGCCAGCACGGATGAGGGTAGCGACAACGTCCACCTCGGTGCGCTCCCACCGACTACTGCCCCGCGGGCCACCGAGTCTCGCTCGCGTCCTCGGCGACCTCCCCCGGTGACCGCCGCCAGCGGCACCCGCGCTAGAGGTCGTAGCGCGAGTGGTAGAGCGGCGCGCAGCACGACGCGTTCCCGTCGCCCATCCCGTCGGATCTCCCCGCGCCCACCGTCCCCACCGTCCCCACCGCCGCCGCCGCCGCCGGCGACTGCAGATACGCGGGCGCCGCCAGTCTGGCGGGCAGCCCGGCCTCGGAGAGCGCCAGCTCGGGCCACCCGCCGTGCTGCACCACGGGCGGGTAGCCGTAGCCCTGCGCCGCGCCGCCGGGCGCCACCACCGTCCCCGCCGCCGCTGCCGCCTCCTCGGCGCAGGCGCCGTGCTGCCCCTGCTGCAGCTTGTACGCCTGGTACGACACCTTGGTCGTGGTGGTGATGATGGTCTCGACCGTGGGCTGCGACTGCGGCGGCGGCGGCTTTCCGTCGGGCACCTGCCGGGGCCTCTCCTGCATGCAGTGGTAGGACAGCGCCGGGTCGTCCGCGTGCCCGAGGCCACCGGACGAGGCGGAGGCCACAGACGCGGGTCTGGAGGAGGAGGAGGTGGTGACACGCGCCGAGCGGAGGCAGTCGGGAGCGGCGGCGGCTCCGGCTCGCTCGTAGCCGGCGATGAACGGACGGGAGACGTCGACGCACGAGCGGGGTCCGCCCCTGGCGTAGCCGCCCTGCGTCGGTGGCGGCGCGGGCCCCCCACCGTGCTGGCCCAGGGTGGCGAGCGGCGATGTCAGCCTGCCGTAGCCGGGGTAGGGCAACTCGTATCCCGCCGGCGTGTGCGACGAATAGTGCTCGGTGGTGTCCGTGGAGAGGAAAGCTCCTTGGAATGGGAGAGCCGAGGCGCTCGGCTCCCTGCAGAAGCCGTCGTCGGGGCGGTAGAAGGAGGGCGGCATCATCGCGTAGCTCGACGACCCCGGGTATTTGATGAGCTGCGACGGAGACACGTCCGTGATTCTATAACGGTAATCGTAACCTCTCCTGGTGTCACACGTGCCAGCGGGAGCCTGTAATCCAATGCCATCGGTACAAAGGTTATTGCAGTCTTGGCCTTATTCAACAATTTTGGGTTATTCCAGCCAACTTTTATACCCCCTCTAAAAGATGTTATTAATGTTGTCTTTGTAAGCTCCCTGCTGGGTGAAGGCTTCCCCACGCCATGTCGGTTTGACCATCCTTCACCGCCTTGGTCAATGTGAACTGGTTCAGAGTGGTGGTGAACAAAGACTGATGCCGATATCGACTCTCTGCCGACGTCAGCCATGACCGGGGAATCGTGAGGTTCATGGCACAGTGGCACCACTTGCAGCGCCACTTTCCCCGCACCCAACAAAATATATCCAAGTCAATGAAATATCACCTACTTTGCTAAGTTTTCTGGGTATAAAAAGTGGATGGGAAAACCTGTGAATGGTAAATCATCAGGACAAATTGCTGATAAATTTCGATTTAAAGCTTTCGTGACTGCAGGGATTCATCTTCTTGGTCACGTAGAAGGGAAATAATAAAATAATACAAATAAAACATAACAAATACAATTCTCACGACGTTGCGGCCACAACACAAGCAGCCGTCCTCAAGTGAAGAACAGAGCTGTCAGAAAGACAGCATCCCTTCTACGTGACTTTACCGAAAGAACCAAGAAGATAAATTGCTGATACTTATCAAAATATGACATGTGACCGCAGTTACCTGCTCGTTCCATAATACTTCGTGACTATTAAGTATCAAGGGTAAAACAAAAACATTTGTTATTAAACACCCACCCTAGTAAATGTGGCCTATATGTAACATACGGCCACTATTAAATTAGCAGAAAGTTTAACTGACATTTTACTTGATCGATTATAAGTATTTAAAGTAAAACATTAGGATCATTAGTTTTTTTTTGATACCCGAATAAGTAGACTCATCGTCAAAAAGAGGATGTTCACTCATCTCGTCACCACAGCGGGCACTGTGCGTGCATACAGTGAGTGTGTGGTAATGTGCGCGTTTATGGGGTGTTTTTTTCGCGATCGGGATCGTATTTCATCTCGGATGGACGATATTTACAGAGATAATAATCGTCGTATGACGAGCAGCTTGCGAGACGAAGAAAAGTTCACGCAGTTCAGAGGCAAGCGCACGTAGCATCAACACGAGCCACGTAGCGTCAAAATCACAACACTCGCCAAACAGAGATCACAGCAGATGACTCGACATCTGACGAATGCACGTGATCGGAGCCGGCTCTGTTGATCGAAACATGAAAAGTCCACGGTGGAGTTTGTGGCCTCCCGAATCTGGAGCATCAAAAGCGCCACTGACGCTGAGTGTGAAACCTTTAGGCCCTGGGTTCTTTGTGACGGCCTGCCTGAGGCTTGGCTCTGGCTCAAATGAGCCATGACTCCCAGTGAGCCTTCCTTAACTTGAGCCGGCTCTCAGTATGGTCCCCGGATCATGGCAGAGCCGCTCACTCGCGTGTCTTTGACAGGAAACTGAGAGGTTCAAGCCTGAGCAGAGCCGTGTAAGCGCCCAAGCCACAGCTGAGCCGTGGCTCAGAACAAGGCCCTGTATCTGGAGTAGAGAGGTGTGGATATTCACTTCCGTTTGCTCAACTGTGGCACTCGGCGAGTGTTCAGCTCACTTAGCGAGTGATGTGACCGCGTGGTTCAGAGGGTCAGAGCTTTGACACCGGGTTCTCAAGTGCATCGAGTTGATGGTCTTAGCCCAGTCACCAACGACTGCACAAAAACCGCATCATACAACATTTGGTTTTGAACACAATCTGATTAAATTTCAGCCCTGGTAATTCAAACTAAGGATACAAGGGCGTATTAAAGGATTGTTCGGGAGAAGTGCTGAGAAAAATATATTGTACACCTGCTCGCTTCAATCACTGGATTTTGCATCGTATGAATTTGCCTCCACTTGGAAGTAACTCGTCATGTCCGCAGATGAAGACAGATACAATTATGAATTTGTCTCCAGTGCTGGATGATTCGTCTTAACCACACTAAGGTTCGAACAAGGAATTGCAGTGCTTTAGACCCACTGCTTCTCTGGGTTACTCTCCTGCAGGTAAACGCGACTAAATTGATGAATTTGCCACCACTGCTGTGCGAATCGTGATACTTTATCCGCAGGAAAAGAAAAAAAAAAACACAAAAAGGAAAATGGGATTTTCTGCAGATTGATCAAGGGGCGATGCCAACACGAGCATCGGATCTCAGGGGCCTTTATACCCGACGACGAGGCGTCTCGCTGCACGGTATTCATATCGCGAGCGGGCAGACCCGTCGCGAGACATCTTTTAGCGCCCGGTTCAAGATGCCATCCATCCTCCCAACCCACCCAACCGCCCCATCAAACATTTGCGCCACCACTGCCGGCTTCGTTTCAAACGCACGTGGTTGTGGGTGGGTGCGCGCGCGCGCGTGTGGTGTCGTGTCCGTGAACACGCGTGCACGTGCGCGTGCACGTGTGTGCGTGCGTGCGCGTGCACCTGCGCGTGGATGGCGCTCCTCTTCCCCCGCTGCGTTGCGCCCGCGCTCAGCGTGGACACGGCGCTGCGTTTCTTGGCGGCGCAGCGCCGCCCCTCCGCCTCTGTCTTGCTCTCGGGTCGTGGGTGATCGTGAACCCCCTTGGCCTGCGCGCAGCGACAGCGCTTGCGCGATTACGAGAGGCTTCGTCATATTCTTAGGTTTTTTCGGTAAAGTCACGTAGGGTAAAACAATTGCTGTATCAAGTAACTCCTCAGTTACTTGATACAGCAAGCGTGCTGTGACGTATTCTTAGGTGTGTTCGGTAAAGTCACGTAGGTACCGAAAACATCTTTACCGAAAACACCTAAGAATATGATTCCTTGCAGTCACGAAAGCTTCAAGTCTAGAACGTGCTGTGACGGTTCCACCTGAAGACGGAAGCTTGTGTTGCCTCCGAAACGTCGTGATTTTTATTTTATTTTTATTTTATTTTACTTTTATTAATTTTAATTATTTTTACCTACGTGACTTTACCGAAAAAACCTAAGAATATGAATCCTTGCAGTCACGAAAGCTTCAAATCTAGGCTTCATCATCCCCGTCGTCGTCGTCGTCGTTAGCAGCCAGGATCTATCCGGCGCTGAGTATGGGTCTCTCACCAAGATGCTCGCCATCACTCTCGCGCGCGGTGAGAGACGGGTTGGAGAGATCTCACAAGTGCCTGCACTCCCCTGTTTGCTGGCTGTTGGGCTGTGGGTTCGATCCCGACCCTGACGCCTGCTGCTGTATATTTGCAGTTTGCGTGGATCTTTCTCTCTCTCCGTGGTCGCGTGGATTTTTCTCTGGGCCCTCCGGGGTTTCCCTCCACATTTAGAAACGCGCCTTTAGAGTATTTGGCTGCTATTGATTTCCACATGGTAATCCACTTCGTTGAGCTGCCATTTGTGGCCAGGTCGCTTTTGAAAAAGAGCTAAACTCAGTGGACCTTGCCAGGTTAAGTAAAATAAAAACGTGGCTTAGTTTCAGTAAATTTATTGGTGGAGTAAGGAGGTTTCTATTCTGTAACCGGTCCCCATCGACAATGGGCATTCATTGCCCAATCGGCTACACCTGCGCCAAAATAAACCCAAGCAATGATTGCGATATCAGCTTTCCAATTGCTTTGTACTGTAATTGTAGATCACATTTGTCACGGTTTTCCAGTTGTACTTTGTTGCTTACGCGTCCGGTACGTGCTCATAAAGATGACTTACATTATTCAACTAAAGCAAGACGTGTTTGTTTCGCAATAATTAGAGTTTCTGACGCACACGCTGTTTAGTTACACTGAATGTGTAAATCGGCTACGAATGTGATGACGTCATAAATCGCCACTCTGTTAATTACTCCAGGAAACGTTTAGAAAAACACATTTTTTTGGGGTAATAGCTACTTAAATTGCAACTTGTCTTATTGAGTTTGATTTTCGCAATATCTTGTCAGGGAAATAATTTTTTTTAAATTTATCAACGAAAAATAACGATCTAACGAGCAACGATAATCACGATCTCGCGATATTGAGTGAAACGGACGATACGATAATCGTGGAGCTTATATCGTGTGATATATCGTAGCGTTGTTGGCTTATCGCAGCCACCATACAGCACTCTACAGAGGGTGGGTTTGGTGGGTGGGGAAGGGGACACGCCAATGCAGAAGCTGTTGACGTGTCTAATGGACACGTGCAATAAGCCTGGCTTGTTTTTATTGTGACATTTTAGTTTGCTGTCATTTTAATAACAAATACAATGAGAGTCTATCTTCACTGCGACTCAACATGTATTTGGAACCAGTTCGCTATTTTTTATTGTGGCTCACTATGGCTCACTCTTTTATTGTGGAATACTACGGCTCACTGTGGTTCACTGCTTTAATGCGGCTCGCTATTTGAACCACAGCTCACTATGGCTCGCTGTGGCCCACTACTTCAGTCTGGCTCACCACGGCTCAATATTTGAATCGCAGCTCACTATGGCTCGCTGTGGCCCACCGCTTCAGTCTGACCCACCACGGCTCAATATTTAAAACACGCGGTTCACGACGGCTCGCTAGGTGGCTGGCCGCGCGCGGTACCTGGAAGAACACGAGCTTGCCCTCGTGGCGCCAGAAGTTGGTGACGGGGTACCCGCTGTGGCCACGGCACGGCACCAGCTCCAGAGGGCCCTGGCAGCTGGGGCACATCTTCTCTGCGGGGGAGAGAGCCACGCGCGCTCTGGTGACGAGGAGCGGACGCAGCGCGCCTGCCCGCAGTGTCGTCAGATCGCTTTAACCACGCAGCACACGCCGAGTTACCACCACCACCACCACCACGACCACCACAGTTTCATAGCTGTCAACTCCTTATCAGTGTCCCTTACCTTATTACAGACCAATTCAGACATTGTTGGTCACCCCGTGCCCCTTATGAATATCAACGTTTATTCTACAAAGTCCCATCACAAGCGAGAAACGCAAACAAATAGACATACTCCACTAGTACACTCACCACTGCATAACCTGTCAACTCCTTATCAGTGTCCCTACCTTATTACAGACCAATTCAGACCGTGTTGGCCACGCCGTGCCTCTTATACATCTCAATGTTCATCTTACAAGGTCCCATCACAAGCGAGAAATACAAACAAATTTCTTTGGCTGTCCGTGTTGAAGCGGATGTACGCCGTGTGGATCCTCACAACTCAATTTCTCTGTACAAGAATGCGGGTAAACCGTATGGGTTGACAGGCATGCAGTTTATCATCGATACAGCTGAGGTCATGAGTTCAAACTTTACAGCCAGTGACCGCATCGCCGTTGTTCATTTAACACGACGACAGTCTGTTGGTACCCGTGCAGTGATGTTCAACCAGGGGTGCACGTGTCAATGTCTCAGGCGGTACACGTGTGAAATTCTTTCGTGCATGAGAGTCATTGGTGAATAATCACGTGTGAATATGCAAATCAAAAATAACTACGATAGCATTGAATTCCACGTGGTAACCTCGAACGATCTTAAAGATATTTCCGAACTCATTGATCGTAAACAACGCGGGTTTCAAAGGGTAAACAGCGAGCGCAAACAAATAACGTCACGCCAAACAGAGCGTCCGTTTAATATATTTTTTTTTATTTCGCTTGCAAGTTACTCGCTCGTCAGGATACCTCACAAAAGGGACAATCGGGTGAGAATATTTGACGCTCATTATTATTCGTACATTTATTTATCAGACCCGTGTTGGGTCAGGCAAGGGAGGTTGAAAAAACATTCAACAAGAGGGGTGGGTGGAGGGGTACAACAGTCGCCAAAGCAAGGCTGACAACCACATTCGGTGGGGGCGATATGCCGGTGGCACACAATGGCCTTCAAATCTCCACTTGGTCGCGTGGATTTTTCTCCGGGTCCTCCGGTTTTTCCCACCCAGCCAGCGCTAACAGCAAATGCTCTGCGGTCCTCTACATGCTAAGATATTTTCAGGCAATCGGCGACGAGCGTGTTTATACACCGTCCTGGGACTGGAGCCTCGTGAAGGAGAGAGCTGTTGCAGAGCGAGAGAACTGAACGAGATGCGGGCGTGCGTGCGTGCGTGCGTGCGTTATTCATCATACATGGTTTATGGGTTTGGATCGCGTAAATATAAACGAGTCGTGAACCCACCACCACCACCACCCGACACAGCCAATTTGTGTCCGTCACGTAAACAAAAATCGTGCCAACGAGCTGCCAATTCACCACACCGGCGCGCTGGAGAGTAAACCCACGGTTACCATTCAAGCACGGCGGCGTCTCGCCGGTGATTACAACAACCCGGCCTAATCGTTCGATGTGCCAGACATCGAACGACGTGCCGTGTCGGCGATTCGCCCCGCGATGTGAGGGCGTGCGAGCGTTACTCTGCTGTTTCTGTCGAGCCTTGTCGCAGATGGCCGGGCGCAGGAAGAGGCGGGCTCCCGAGGGCAGGAGGCATCCTCGGCTGCACAGCACGACGCCCAGGCACGACTTCTTGAGGATGGCGCAGTTGTGGTTGTTGGTGTTGCGCATGGCCCAGCCGCTGAGGTGGCGCTGTGCGTGTTTGTCCTCGGAGCTGTACACGAAGCGCGCGTAGCCGTCCGGCCACTCCTTGAACGCGTCGGGCTGCTTGATGCACTGCGCAGGCACCGCGGAGTGAACGAAGAGCGGAGCGGGGGGGGGGGGTCGGGGTGCGGAGAGGGAGTGTAGGACACATTGGTGCCGTGTAGTGTATGGAGCACGTGCGTTGAACTTATTTTGCACCGTACGTAGCCAACCGTGCTCGTCGGAGGCGCGGGGCAAGGACAAGAAACTGAACACAAAAATAAGTTTCTAAAGAAATTCGTTTTCAATTTGGGTGACTTCAAAGTTGCATAGCTTCCAGTGGTATTCTTCCTAATATCGGTAAGGAGGAGGGTCCCAGACGGCCGCGTTGCTGGGTCGTCTAAAATCTGTAGTTTACAAAACTCGACCAAGAAGATGCCTGAATGAATTGAGACAACGCAGCAACAATAATGAAAATCATAATAAAAATTGATGATTAATATTACAAGATTACACGCCTTGTAATCTCGTTTGGGGGGAAAAAGATCCTAAATTAATGTTAATGGGAGTCAATGTAAACGTTTGTTAAAATACATTTCATGATCGCATGTCGCTTGTTAAAATAAATAACCCTACGTGTCCTGACTTTTCAGCCACCCTGTGTGTTTGGTATCACAATGATTAAAATAACATGCTGTGTGTATATATATATAGTGTGCAACGCCTCTTCAACCTCTGTAAAGGATTTAAAATTTAATGACATTGAGATGAGCGTGTATGTTCAAGTTCACGTACGTACACGAACACTCGATCTCAATCGGCCGCTCGCTTTTACAACTTGGAAGCAACAGGCACCTGCAGTTGATTGTGTGTGTATATATGTATGTTGCACTTATTTCGTACCGTACGGAGTCAACCTTGCTAATCGAAAATGCGGGGAGAGGGCAAAAACAATAAACACAAAAAGCTGTTCTAAAAAGGTTTAACACGTAGCAGGCTTTCGCGACCAATATCATCCATAATAGAGGTTTGCTTTGGATAGATCGTGTAAAAATAGAAATGTGTCGTTAAACCCGCCACCACCCGACCCAGCTAACTAGTAAGGTTTGTCACGTAAACAGAACATGCCAATTCGTCACTAGTACAGCACACCGGTGTGTGTTGGAGAGCCAAGCCACAACATTTACAATCTGAGTACGACGTTTCGCCAGTAATTACAACTAGCTTCATCAGGCGACGTTCAGATTTGTGGAGAAGTCCACCTGTTTCGTCCCTTATAAAGAGGCGTACATGCGGCGACCGCACTTCTTCTAAAGAATTACGTTTTCACCCAAGATTGTAAAAGTATATTGATCCAGTGGCTTCCTAACATCGGAAGGAAGATCGTTCCAGACGGCCGCAGAAGCGCATCTGAAAGCGCGCGATGCAGTGGCCGTCTTTGTTTGATGGTTGGCCAAAAGAAAGGTCCTTAATGCGGGTGCGTGGCTTGAGCCGTGTCTTGTTTTTTAAATAGACATTATTATTATTTCATCTTCTTGGTTCTTTCGGTAAAGTCTTTCCGACAGATCTGTTCTTCACCTGAGGACGGCTGCTTGCGTTGTGGCCGAAACGTCGTGAGAATTGCATTTTATTATGTTTTATTATTTATTATTTTATTATTTCCCTTCTACGTGACTTTACCGAAAGAACCAAGAAGATGAATCCCTGCAGTCACGAAAGCTTTAAATCGAAATTTATTATTATTATTTCATTAGTGATGTTGCATTGGCAGTGTTGCACAATCAACATTAACAGCAACAATACAACTCGCCACATTCGTTAATAACACTGTCGCCTTAAAAGGGGAAAAACATATAACAGGAGACGTTTCGGGCAAAGGTCCCTTATTTATAGCGCACATTTAAGCACCATATAGATGCTAAATATTACTATCATCATCAATGAATACGGGAGGCCAAATCCCAGATTTGAAATCCAGGCTTCTCGGTGTTTGCCGTCTGGCTCAGCGTCTCTGATTCCTCAGTCTCCTGCCTCGCACCTGCGGCATCTTGGGGTCGTTGATGTCCCACGCGAGGCGCATGCCCTGCCCGGTCACGTCCACCTCGTCACCCAGATCCAGGAAAGACGGGTGGCCGCCCTCCGACTTCAGCATCGCGGCCGATGACGACGATGATGCCGATGATGGCGATGATGCTGATGATGGTGATGATGCTGATGATGCTGATGATGCCGATGATGGTGATGCTAATGTCGCCTGGCTGCACACACACACACACAGACGCGCGCGCGCAGTAACACAACTTGCAGGTTCACGCTCAGGTCAAGGGACGATGTGTCATCATGGCCAGTGCCGTTCATGTAACCACGAAACATCATTGCCACCAGCCAGATCTGCCCCCTGTAGTTGTACACGAGACGCAAACAGCGACCTCCAAGATCGGCGCTGACAAGTCTCCCACCACCCGATCTTCAGGTGCGCGCATGTATGTAGCCGTCCGCGTGTGCGTTATGGAGACACGCGTATGCATGGGTATGTGTGTTTGCAAGTAGACTATGCATTGTATGTGTACAGGTGCACAAGCATGTCGTACAAAGGTATGTTCACCCGTGTACGTGCATACTCAGTCAAAGCAAACGTCTACGGCTATAATAAGGTACGGACACGTATAGAAAGCGATATCAAGATATCCATACACCGATAAAGACAACGATCCCCCATATAGCCTTTATAGTATATTGGGGCAAGTGCTGTTAGCGAGCACCTTCGAAGGCCGCCACAGCACACGAGGGGGTGGGTGGCCAGCACCACGCCCGACCGCCTAGGATATGCAGTTTACTCTATAGCACAGCTGTACACAGTTGTCAAACATATTCACATAGCCCGTTGGTGTAAGCTTTCGCTGCAAGCCTATCGATATGATGATGGTAGAGCAAAGGAATGATTGACTCTATCTGTGAGAAGCATTGAGCGTTCAGTATCACCTCCTCGTATGCGCGTTGGATCTTCTCCGGGCACTGAGACGTCCTTAGGCAAGCCAAACACTGTCATCCCAGTGTGGCAGGACCCTCCTGAGAAGAGAAAACCATGAACGCTCAGTGAGGCTCTCACTGGAGTAAGGGCATTCTCGTTATTACATTTATTACATCACTAATCATCATGCGATAGAATGTATATATTATCAGTACATTGATCAACTCTATTATATCCCTAACATGTCCAGTCTTGCACGGACGGGGCATGCTCAAGTGGCGACATTGCCCAGTGGCAGCGCGTTCACCCCCAGAGGTTCACGGTTCGAATCCAGCGGCCGCCCTGGTTATTAGCGCAGCGGGTGTATACATTTTGTTTTTTTCAACATAGAATAAGCGCCGTGTGCTACGAAGTGAAGGTTAAAGATCCCGCGACGCGATTGACAAGAGGAGGCTATTGTGTGCCGCTGTCGTGCTCCAAATTTTTCTCAAATGAAAACAAAAACTTTTGCTGCGAATTCCTTAAGTGGCATTATGCGTAGCAAATTATCGTCCCTCGTTACGAAAACTTGTCAGGAGCCTCGTAAACAAGGAGTCATGAGACTCAGAGAGACTTTTTTTAGCTAAACAAGTTAAATAATGATAATGATGAATTGCATGTGTCGACTGAATGCGTTTCATACGCCACACCACGTATGCAATTATAAACCGTGCTGGTCTGTATGCTTAACAACGCATAGCATGCGTTCATTCGCCAAGCTAGATATCACATTAGCACTGACTCTATTCCATCAAGTATTTATATTTAATACCAGTCCGTACACAATGAATGGTATACAGCTCTACTATGTGTGTGTCTGTACAAGGTCGACTCAGCCCCAAATGAGTACCAGGTGCGATTTTTAAACATCGCCACTGGGGAGACAAAGGCGGCCGGGCGTGGTACTGGCCACCCACCCCGTCGCGTGCCGTGACGGCCTTCATAGGTGCTCGCAAACGGAACTTGCCCCAACAGTCTGTTAGATGCTATACGGGCGATCTTTGTCTTTGCAATACAATACTGTTAAGTTTACGTTAATTTGTTGAACCAGTTGAGAAATTTAGAGACCAGGACAGTCGTCTCGTTTGTAAGAGTGACCTGGGCCATCGAATTGACAAAAGTAATACCCTAAAATTAAGTACAATGAAGCAAATATTGACTTGCACACGATACAATCTGCAGCGTGCGCACATTAACAAGTGAATACTTTAAATCGATAGATTAGTATCCGGATTAACTCCTAGAAACATAGTGTCTGAGAACGTTGACTAATTATTGCAGCCTGACACTGCTGTGGTGCATCTGAGCTGCGTGTGTGCCAGTGCCTCACCAATATTATCCAATTCTGATTACAAAACACGAGGGCATTGTCCCGCAATGCGTGTGTGTGTCGTGGTCAGCGCGTTGCGCTACGAACCCGTCCACCCGAGTTCGATTCCCGCTCACGGCCACCACCAGTTACGAATATCTGAACTGGTCCTGGGCCTCTACTAGGTCGACTCAGCCTAAGAAATGAGTGGTGTGTAAACATCGCCACTGGGGAGACAAAGGCGGTCGGGCGTGGTACTGGTCACCCACCCCATCGTGTGCCGTCCTGGCCTTCATAGGTGCTCGCTAACAGCACTTGCCCCAACATTCCGTTAAGGTTATACATTGATTAGCTTACACTATGATAGTCCGCAGTTTGTTATCTCGCGCCCGTGTGTGTGTGTGCGCGCAACACGAGTGAACTCGGGTGTGTGGGTTCGTGGTGCACACTGGAAGTGAGTGTCATGAGGCTGGCATGGACCACCAACCCCAACTGCTGTGCCTACCTTCAGTAGAAACCCGATAGCCGCTCCCTCGCTTCTTGCAGTGATGTGTCTACCCACAAACACGTGTAGGCACCCACGCACACACTCACGTGGACAAGACACACCACACACACACACACGTGTACACGCACGCACGTGTACACACCCACACACACACACGTGGACAAGACAAAAACACACCACACCACGCACACGCGTTGTAGGCACACCACACAGAACTGTGCTCGCAGCCCGCCTGTCAATGCTGTCCTGAGCGCGAGCAGGTGAAACCTGCACAGGTGAGCGGGCAGGCGGAGTAGCCACACACAGAGAGAGTGAGGCCCTGGTCACGACTTGCACCGGGTCCGTGCCTCTATCTCCACGCGCGCCGTTCTGTACACCTCTTCACGCCGACCACCGATTGACTCTGTAGAGCACACCGTGTTGTGTGTGCCCGCCGGGCAGGTGTGTGTGTCTCCGTGCGGGGGAGTGTTTATATGTGAGAGCGTGTCACGAGAGAGGCCACTTGGCGAGAGAGACGGGAGGAGCCACCTGCTTGGGTCGAGGGGACACGACAGGGATGGGTGGGGTAGAAGTAGGAGGAGGAGGAGCGCTCGTTGTTATTGTTGTTGTCTTTTTTCTAAGACCGCCACATCTACCTGTCGATGAATCCGTGGTACGAGGCTTACTGAGCACCCGACGAAGGGACGGTCTGGTTTCTCTCTGTCGCTCCGATGACATTGGGACCCGCTCTTTTATTTTTACGTTGCGAGTGAGTATCATGAGGTTGTCCGTACACGACGCGACGGAGGAAGAAGAAGAAAGTGTGGACATTTACTCCAGAAATTGAAGCTCAAGGACTCTACCAAACCGCGAACGCGGTGAGGTGCACGCCACGAGGCGTACATCACGGACGACTGCCCACCCAATACTAGCGCGCACATTCTCGAGAACGAGAGTGGAGACTCAGTGGCGCTTTACTGGATACACATCAATATCACACGTTCCGTTCAGGGTTGAGCGCAGTGGCGGCTGGTGATATTTATTTTTGGGGGGGGCGCATTTTTTTTATTTTATTGAGGGGGGCAAATAAATATAAAGCAGTACCAAAAACCATTTTGACTACTTTAATATAAATTTTGATGATCTTTATTTACATTTCAGACCAAAAGAAGTACCAAAAAGCATGTTTCCTACTTGAACATACATGTTTCTCTTTTATATACATTTCAGACCAAAGTACCAAAAAGCATGTTTCCTACTTGAACATAAATGTTTCTCTTTTATATACATTTCAGACCAAAGTACCAAAAAGCATGTTTCCTACTTGAACATAAATGTTTCTCTTTTATATACATTTCAGACCAAAGTACCAAAAAGCATGTTTCCTACTTGAACATAAAAACGTTAGTTTCATGCTATTATCAATATGGCTGCGGCTACTTTCATGACGTTTGCATTTGTCAGAGAGATGTTTGAGGTCTCTTACCCCCGTCGTTGTCCACAAAACTTCAGTGCCGACACTTTGAAATAAAAGACAGGGAAAACAAAAAAGAGAATTGCTAACATCACATCCAGCCAGCCACCTTCGTTTCTCATAACAAGCGCGGGTGAAGCTTCGTGTGTAGCTTCGTCCTCTGTCACTGGCCTGCTGCTGGATTTGTAAATCGGGTTGGTCCGGTCCGAGATCCTTTATCTTTTTTATTTCTTCCAGCGAAAGCCTTGTGAAAGGGTTTTTTTGTAAATAAATTACAGAATTTGGATGAACTGCTGCCATTGTTTACACAAAAAAATTTGATCAGCCTAGCAAGTGTCAAAGTGGTGTCGCCTTCGCACTCGCAGTAGTGGCCTACAGCGTAAATTTGAATGACAGGTGACGAGAACCAATCAGATTGGATAAAATAACATGTATCCAATTCTGATTGGCCAGGGACGCAACGACTTGCGCCCCGAGGATAATCTTTAAGAAACCAATTAGAGACCAGCTTCAGGTCACATGCTGTCCGAAAATGTAAAGTCTCACATAGACATCCATTTGTCCGGCGCCCCGCATGAAACACATTGAAAAACATAGAAAATAGTTGACCGATTAAAGCCAGTTTTTATTAAATGCTGATGCTTTTCTTACTACCAGCCGGCACATCGTATGAAAAAAATATTTTATTTATGTATTTTTATATAAATTTTGTATATATATATTTCTTGAATATTGATGGGGGCGGCGCCCCTGCGCCCTCTATTGACGAGCCGCCACTGGTTGAGCGGTGAACCCGGCAAGCCTGAATTCGATAGATAACCACGGATAAACTAAACTATGAAGATATTTTGTTTGTATCTTGCCAGGTAAGGCCCACTGAGCTATATAGCTCTTTTTCAGAAGCGACTTGGCCACACATGCCCCAAACTGATTCAGATTCTAAATGCGGAGGGAAAAACTGGAAGACCCGGAGAAAAATCCATGCGGCCACGGGGAAAAAAATGCAAACTCCAAATATACAGCAGGCGTCAGGATTCGGGATCGAACCCACGACCTCCTGTATACCCGGCGAGGTGGTTAACATCTCACCATCGTGACACACACGGCAGCGATATGTTGGTGAAACAAGCGGACTACTGCACTCAGCACCCTGGATGCTGCCGTGGAATGGCTTACAACGATAACACACCAATGTAGCCATGCTAATGGCGTTGATTTTTTTTGTTCGTTCAAAAGCCACACGAAAGAATAAGTCGCCACGTCGTGTAGCAGTTGCCACTACTCCACTGGAGGCGGAAGTGTTTGGCCACGAGACTTGAAGCATTGTGGGACGTCAGGCTGAGTCGGCCCTATGAGTGAAACCGATCAACCAACCTACGGGACGTCATCTTTGGGATACTTAATTGGAACATTCGGATTTTTGGTAAATACAATTTTCGGATGAGTGGGTGGGTGGGGGAGTGTATAGTGGCGGCCGTCGCTTGAGACCTCGATATTGATATGTACCAGAGAAAATAAATGCAATGTTTTAATGCAACTATTAATTATTAATGTAGGGCCCTATTTAAATAAAGGTTCGAGATCCGCCTCTGAGTCACAGACAGCACGAATGTTAAGTAAATATGTGCTACTCGGGTGGGACAGCAGTGCTCCCACTGATGCAAACATTATAAGTTCAAATCCTCGCCAGGGTCGACTGGGCCCCAATCTCACTCAGGGGCCGGGACTGGTTTAATCGCATCTGCAGGTCACCTGCAGGTCACATGTGCAGGTCACCTGCAGGTCAGGTGTAGGTCAACACACGTGTATTGTTGCTTGCTTCTTCTTTTGCACGACGGGGGCCGTGAACTTCGCTCCCACACTCTTTTTATTTCTCTCCCCAAGTTCGTATAACCATGCTCAATGCAAGTAACGTATTTATTTTTACACGCTCATCTATTTCACCCTTAATAGCGCCGTTTGTTGCTGGTCGCTTGGCGTTTCGAGCTTGTTCTGTTTGTGCTCAGCGTTTAAGTTGTACGTATGTATGTATGTAGAACTTCTTTCGCAACGCACGTATGCCAACCGCGCTAATCGGAGGTGCGGGGGAAGGACAACAAACTGAACACAAAAAAGCAGTTCCAAAGAAATGCGTTTTCAACCGATATTTTAAAAGTGCATAGCGCCAGCGGCTTCCTAATATCGGAAGGAAGAGCGTTCCAGACGGCCGCAGAAGCGCATCTTCGCTCAATGGTTAACCAAAAGCCGCTTCTGCGAGGATGACCGGAGTTTGCGTGATGGTTTATGCTCCTTGATGCGATCAGCAAGGTAGTGTGTGGCTCATTTATGGCAAGCACTGTGTGTGTAATGAGTGCGACCTACAGTAATGAGCCATTGGTGGGAAATTCCACATTTCAAAGGCGGGGGCGCAGTGGTTATCGCCCTGCGCTACGAACCTGGCGACCCGAGTTTCATTCCCGCTGACTGTCAACACCAGCGACGATTATTGCTAACCTGTTACCCAACGGCATAATCCTTATTACATGCTGTTTTGTAAAATAGCGTTCATATTGTACGTTATATCTTATAGATAAGTACTGTTCTGCAATGCTGCTTCCGTTTTAAAATTAATCTTGCGATGGCAAACTGTTACATTGAGGTTGTGGGTTCAATCCCGACCCTGACGCCTGTATATTTGGAGTTCACGTGTCTCTCTCCCCGTGGTCGCGTGGATTTTTCTCCGGGACCTCCTTTTTTCCCCCTCCACATTTAAAATCAACATCACGCGTTTAGAGTATTTGGTTGCTATACATTTCCACATGATAAGCCACTTCGTTGAGCTATCATTTGTGGCCAGGTCGCCTCTGAAAAGAGCTGTGGAGCTCAGTGGGCCTTACCTGGTAAAAGAATACATATGTTTTCGCCGGGTCCTCCAATTATTCCCTCCGCATTGAGAATCAACATGCATTGAGCATTTGGCTGCTATACATTTCCACAACCGAAACAATATATAGTTCAAATCAAAATACAGAACGGTGATTTCAAAATGCAAAACATACGAGACGGACACGAATGAGTTGAGCGATTTTACTCAACCCGAGGTAAACAACTTGATCATATAGTTCAATTTAAAAAGGGAGCTTAACAACATGTAAGCCGCAATTATACTCAAACAATTCCACGCAGGAGTGTAATTTTTTGTCTCTCTTATTTAAATTGCCCATAAAATTGGGCTCATTATAGACCAATGAGCAATACGGCGAGACGCACGCAAGAGATTGCAATAACAAGACGCAATCGTGGCGTATTTCAGCTCAAGTGGCAATTAGCCATGGGTAAGATGCGTGCTGTGGTAGATAGCGCAGTATATTGTAAAAAAAAAAACACACGAGTATTAACAATTGATCTACATCCACACAAGTAAATGCAGTAAATAAAAAAAAACTGTGGAAGGCCACACATGCACGCGACCCGCGCTACCATTTGTGCGTGTGTGTATATAGATATGCAATGTGTGGGGAGCGGTGGTGCAGTGGTTAGCGCACTGCACCATGAATCCGGCGACCCAAGATCGTTTTCCGCAGTGGCAAATATTTGAACCGGCCCTGAGCGTCGCCTAGGTGGACTCAGCCTTAAATTGGTACCTGATTCGGTGTGAAAACATCAGCTAGTGGGGAGACAAAGGCGGCCGGGCGTAGTGTTGGCCACCCGCCGTGTCGGTCTTCATAGCACTTGCCTCGACCGCCTGCTAAAGACCGTACGGAGCCACTGTTTGCCGTGGTTGCACACCGCGTACGAATGTGTCGTGGTGGTCGTCGTATTACAAAGTTCTCGGACTACTCTGCCATTCCGTCACTCGCACTCGCCGTGACGGCCCAATGCCCGATAATTGCCAATATATTTGAATTGGCAATGAACTTCAATTGCCGATATGGTGACTCTGATTGTTGATAATTCGCGCACGCACCGCGGTCACTATTTTGTCTCTCGGTGTAATTCCAAGCACGCGTTTAAATATGGAATATATACTGACAAAAAGAATATGTACTGACAAAAAGAAGATGTACTTACAAACGCAAGCACACACGCGCGCGCGCACGTACACTACTCTATTTGCTACACGTATAGAGTATAAAAACATATAACTAGTTTGTGTGTGTACAAATGTGGGGTGGGGGGTGGGGGGGATAGTGTAATAACATCGATGGGACCTTTTTTTGCCGGTATCTATTCTTTTTTTCATCGGTCTAATCATGCATCACACAGCCCACGTGTTCATTCACTGCTGGATCGAGAGCTTCCCGTACTGCGTCGTTCATGG